ATACAGTTGTGGGATCGCACAACGTTACACGATGTGCGGTGTGCGCACGATGTGTGCACGGTGTGTGAACGGTGTGTGCACGATGGGCGAACGATAAAAAGCTGGACGTTCATTGCTTGCGCACGATGGACGGACGTTGTGCGATAACAATCGTGGTTGGTGTAAATTGAGGAATGCCTCAACAATAAATACGGTTTCATGTTTAAACATATAAACTTGATGTTTACGTATGATTCTATATTTTAGCAACATCTATACACTTATCTTTCTGTCTATACATTCTTATATTTAGAAATTGTATTTTTCTGTGTTTTCAAACGACGCATGTAAAATTACAACACAATCCCGTATACAGGTAAACATAACCACTTTGTACATGTACCTGGACCGTAGTTTTCTCCCCGCCTGGGGCATTTACGTAACTCGTCGGGTAAGGCCCGGGGTGTGAAAATCCAGGTGAAGGGGAGCTATATGCAAACGAATGCAAATAACAAATACTATTCATTACGGTCAAACGGTATCGCATATCAACTCTGTGTGTCAGGCACTGGCCAGGTATAATTCCGGACACTCATCAAATTGTTATTTACCTGTTCTGTTACTTTGGAGCCAAACCCATTCTTGACAGCCTAACGGTCGCTGTAATACTATGTAACACGCATTGTGAAATTGTATAATCTTGATTATTGTGATGAGAAATTACAGATATATACACAGTGTACATTATCGCATACAAGCCTTCCGTATTTTTGTCATTCCGTAATTTTGATCTACAAATGATACCAAATCGCACAGTTGTGCGGAGAGAAGCGCACAACGGGGCGAACGATTGCTAAATCGCACAGTTGTGCGCACCATGTGTGGACGATGTACGAACGGTGTGTGAACGATGTATGCACGGTGTGCGCACGCTATTTTTGGTGCGTTGTGCGGTCCCACAACTGTAGCACTGTAAAGTCAGCATCAGTTCCGCGCTATCACAAGGAGACAAACACGAACATATCGCAGCCTCCAAAAAAACACACACATACACTACACGCATGCATCTTGCACACAGGGGAGGCCGTCCTTAAATGACCATAGCTTTCGAAAGGACGTTAATCAATACTAAACCAAACCAAACACTGAAACATACTGCCGAAGACACCTACATGTACCAGGACACCACACCTGGTCACTTTATACTGTATCCAGACTGATTCCAGACGCTTAGCTATAAGTATCCAGGCGTAAAATGATAGCTATGAATAAAGAAAATAGCATTATTGATTTGAATATATTATTATTTAATATATTTATTATTACAAGATCACAGTGGCAAAATAATTGGAATCAATGCGCAGATAACAAATTACATTCAATTATACCTGAAATCGGTGAATGGCATCCTAGCTACGGAGAGAGGCGCCGATACGAGGTTGTCCTTGCCCGTCTCCGGATGGGTAATCCATACATTACTCATTCTTATTTATTAAAACGTGAAGTCCAGCCTCGGTGCGTAGCGTGTCAGGAACCATTTACAGTAAAGCACTTTTTACTAGATTGTATCGACTTTCAATCAATTCGAACACATTTTTATAATAACATTACATGTCTTAAATCTCTTTTCGAAACCATAACTATCTCTTCAAATTTATGCCATTTGAAAGCTTTTGTGTCTTTTTAATAAACTTTGAGTCATCATAGTCACTTTCAATATTTAAATTGATGTTTGTCTGTTACCTTTAAGTTTGTTTTATGTTTTTATTTTGCATTTGTTTTTGTCGACCATTTGTTGGCCCTAATAACCTATCCTGTGTTGATGGGCCATAGCGTATTAATAAAAATAATAATTGTTTGTAAGGGGTTGAGAGATACCACCGAATAAAAAGAGAAAGAGAGTGTAATACGTGTATCCCAAGTGTTCCGATCGGTGCAGCAAATCAATTTTAGTTTCTGTGATGTCCATTATGCAGTAGACACTACAGAACACTGCCGATTCACCACATAGATTTGTTTTGAAAATATACATATACGTACATAGCATCTGAAGGCAAACATAGCCAATACAGGTTAACAAACCATTTTTTCGCCAGACTTCGGTGACCATATATATAAAATCTATTCTACAGTGATCAGATTCCTTTAAGATCGTAACTTAATGAGATACCTTACATCGCCTGTATAATGATTACCAGGAATATCGCTCCCGGATGTTTCGGTGATTAATTGATACACGCCTAGCACATGTAAATGTTGTTTACATGTTCGTGGTTTAATGCACCTGTCTGGCTGACAGCAATTCATAGATCCCGTTCCTTTATAATACACATTGGCTATCAGTGTAGCAAAAACTTTAGTGTATAGAAGAGAACCGGATTCACAGATTTAGCTTGAATTAGATTGACTGAACATATATGAAATAAAATTAAATTAATAATGATGAAACAAGCGTAATTTAAAAATTTATTTTAATGAAACCCCCATTCCCCGAACTTGACGATTCTTTTTCTTGTAACATAAATAATTTAAGCGGATGATTTTTGTTCTAAAACAAGAGGCCAAGAGAGCATTCATTTACAAATTTTGGTCCCCCTTCCCTGCTTAACGTTCAGCGTTAAGGGTAATGGCAACAACTGGTTCATCCGATGTCAGTATAATGAGACCGGGCGAAATGTTGTGCTGGGTGCCTTCGGTATGGTATTTTTGTGAGATAGCACAATAAAGTCGGTATAAGATTCGCGCTATCACAGGGAGGCAAGCACAACAACATACCCTGTCTACAGCACACATACACAGCACATATGGAGGCATGTCCTTAAATGACATTACGTGTAGCAGTTAATAGGACGTAAAACAAAATAAAACCAGCCAGGTAAAATTTAGTTAAAATCTCTCAAATGGTAAAGAAGAAGAAAGGATTTTAAATATTTAAACCTCGAATACTCCTATTTGGCCCTACCCTTCAGGACTCAGAACTGTATCAGCCAATCAGCAAGTGTTTCATACGATTGTAGTCGCTACCTAAAATTTGTTTCGGTTAAATACAGTGCCTCTGAGTAATTAAAATGGGTTATTGTCGACTTATTATACATTGACTGAAATCTACAATTATTTAACTTAAGATTTTTTTTTATAATTTTGGTAGATTGTAATATGTATTGGCGGATCGATATTGGATCAACAGTCGGAGGGTGTTCCCGTCCTACTTCACCAGTTTGGCTTGTAAACTTACTGTTGTCAAAAGCAGACGCCTGTAGCGCTCTTATATGCCACTAAACCCGCCAAAAATACCTTTTGAAGCCTTTGTCAGGTATGAATCTAGATAGTTGTCACTATTGTTGAACTTCAAATATTAAAGCTATTAGCTCAAAAGCTAAGTAATAACATATAGTGAATGATTTAGTTGTGTGAGGCCTTACGCACCCTCCGTTTATACAAAAAAATGTCCTCTTTGCCCAAGGATGCTTCAGGCCAACTTCAGTCAAAATCCATAAAGCTGTTCAGGACTAGTAGCCATTTGATTGGAAAAGTTGATGGACGAACGGACGGACGCCACGGTACGGCATTAGCTCACCATTGTCCTTCGGATAAGGTTTATATTTTGTTTTGTGTAACGTCCTATTAACAGCTAAGGTCATTTAAGGACTTGCCTCTTTCGGACCAGGTCAGCTAAAAATCCTAAATCATTATTGGTTTACATTTAGTTTATGTGTTTGGCTAATGCGTTTACTTATCGATTTATTGATGTTTATTTTATTGATTTCTAAATGTTGATTATTTGTGTTGACTTTCTGTTTTCTGTATGCTGAATTTATCGATTTCTAAATGGGGAATTGGTGTATTGATTTTATTGATTTTTGGCTGTTTCTTTATTTAGATTTAACGGACACTCGATACAAGGTCATTTTGGGCATACAACGTCAACAAACAAACTGAAAAACACTTCACACACATCATAGACCATTAAAACGTTAAACTTTATATTCTATCATAGAGGCCTATTTTCTGTATGCACTTACAAATAGATGTCACAGGTACTTGCTCAAAAGTGTTTTCGTGTTTTGTTCATTGTACATTTATCACAAACCTATTTTAGATGAGTACACGTGAAATTGTGGTGTAGAAGCACAAACGAAACAATAGCGTTGGTCTTCAGTCCTAAGCAAGTCTGTCCAACTCTCAATCGGGCCAAACGTACCTCTGCTTTCCTACTATTTCATGTGACGGTGATTTGTGTGTTGAATTTTCTGGTTTTTGGTTGTTGGATATGTGTGTAAAATTGGTCAGAGTTATATTAGTACTGACATTTATTGATTTCAACTAGGAACATCAGCCAGAAATAATTAATAATTTTTCTATAAAGGTCGTCAGCATCATATTGTTCATATTGTTTGTAACCTTATAGAGAGTATCTATTAAAATCAATATATTAAGAGATAGATGAAGGCGTGTTTTGTAGCATTCTATTTTGTTTGTTTGTAATCGGTTGGTTGATTAATTGATGGCTGGATGGTTGATTGACTGCATCATTTTTTTTATTGAGAAATTTATATTGTCCTTCCAAAAATATAAATATAATTAGATTTGTTTGGTTTGGTTTTATTTTGTTTCACGTCCTATTTACATCCTAAGGTCATATAAGGACTTGCGCGCATGTGTGTTGGAGGCAGGGTATGGTGGTAATTAGAATGGTTGACTTAAGTTTAATCTAAGTAATAAAAACTATCGTATGGTTGACATGCGTTTTGCCTGTAAAAGATCACGGCTTTCATTATGTATAGGTGTTGTGCGTCACGGCTTATTATGCAAGCACACAAGATCAGACTTATCAACACTCCTGTGTATTGCGCAATTGTAAGAAAGCTACGTAAGGTATAAACGCGGATGAAAATATCACCTGAACCAGAGCTTTTGTAACGTTTGAAGGGTTGTCTACACGAAGTAAAGATGATCTCTAAAGTAACCATAGGAGGCGGCGTTCTTGCCTTGATTCTTCTCATTCTACAGACAGTAGCAGTAGCGACACCGAACTGGTTCATCTTAACGGTTTCAGGAAAAACAACACTAGAAATCGGATTATTTTCTGTCTGTGTACCAGAGGTGAAATGCATATCGTATGGAACATATATATTTAAAGGAGACAGACCGTCATGTAAGTTATTGTTATTGTAACATCGACAATTTGAGTAAGTTAGGGCCAAGCAACAATTTGAAAAAATAGATATTCACAAAAAATGAATACATGAACATTTTTTGAACAATTATGAGGTGAATATCTCAATAATATTTGCGTTACATTTCAAAACAGGAAATGCTCTTCACAATAAAAAGCATAACAAACAGACTTAGTACATCATCAAAGCGACCATTGGTTATCTAAACCTAGTAATACTTTTTAACACATTGCCAAAAACGATGTAGACGTAAACCAAAACATATTTTCTCTGTCCATGAGAAAGTAAGTGATTATACTGGCCTTCTGGTCTGTTTTCGTAAAAGCCATGTCACCTTATCATGACGTCACATTTTCCTTATTTTTTCATCGCAATGCCCGATATCATATGTGATAATATGCAAACAACGCACTGTAAAGACGATCTGGTTTGGTGTAATGTTTTACTTTTACTCCATATTCACTGAATTGGAACGTCATAACAGATTAGTTAGTTTGTTTGTTTGTTTGTTTGATTTTGTTTAACGTCCTATTAACAGCTAAGGTCATTTAAGGACGGCCTCCCCTGTGTGCAAGATGCATGCGTGTGTATTTTGGGAGGCTGCGANCTGCCGAAGACACCCAGCAGGACGCCCCACCCGGTCACATTATACTGACAACGGGCGAACCAGTCGTCCCACTCCTAATTTGCTGAGCGTTAAGCAGGAGTAGAAACTACCATTTTTAAAGACTTTGGTATGTCTCGGCCAGGGGACAGAACCCAAAGCCTTCCTCACAGGGGCGAACGCTCAACAAATGGCCAAAAGTGAGGCATTGTCAAGGGAGACATTAGGGAGAAGGAAGGTATTTAGAAAGGAGAGAAGAGATAAGGTCCCAAATTTAGTTGCCTCTTACGATCATGCAATTGGGGACAGCAGGTACAATTCTTACGCCCTACCTGCAGGGACCAGATTAGTTAGTTAGTTTATTGCTTAACGGCCTGACAATAATAAAAAGGGACAATTACATAAACTGTTCAGCGAAAATGGTCAATATTTTAATACAAATAATTTATAAATTTTGTTGTATTAACAAATAGTTTTCAGTTTTGTTGTGGGAACTATTTCGCTCATGTGTAAGCAATGATGATATGGTTCTCGACAATTTATCATCCGCATACTTCTGCATTTTTTATTTCATAATCATGAACAAACGGATAACCGTTATAATCCGACTGACCACAAGCCTAATGAGCATCGATATGCTCGTTCAGTGAAAATGTAACAATACAAGTTTTGCGTGTAGACGTACAATTAAATGCATTTAAAAAAAAAAAAAAAAAAACAACCATCCTTGTCCTTGTCGTTTTTTGCTCTATTCTTAAACCAGCAACATGTGTTAATGGGATTATATTTCTACTAATAAGAGGTATAAAGCAGTATATAGATGATTAAAAATATAACGAGTTAGTCATATGTAATATCAATACACATTGTTTAGTAATGAAGTTGAATGTATCATCAGCTTTCACGTGGCATTTGCATTTTTGCATTTCAGTTAGTTACATAGCCTTTGTTGGACTACATCTCCTTGGGTGTTTCTTCAATTTCGTGTCCATGATCATCTGTGTTACTCACGCTGTCTCCCCGAATTCCAATCCTGAACGGTCTTTTATCAAGCGGACGTCTGTAATGTGGTTCTTGTCGGGTAAATATGTTGTTAGTTAATTGGTTAACTAACCAAGTAATGAGTATAGACCCTCTTGAGCGTGACTTATTCACCTGCCCCTTACTTCGATCTTGTCATGTATATTGACGGTAGTTTATTACTAAGCAGTAACATCAGCTCGACGATTTGATTTCTCGATCGTTAACTTACACTTTCCTGTTAGAAACATCTTTAATTCCCTTAGGTAGCTGTTCATATGTCGCAGTTGATTCAGTATTGAAGAGCTTACATCGTATATCAAAATGTCCGTGGTACATGTTTACTACTGACTAGCGGACTTATCACTAAAATTTCTTTTTTATATGTATTGATGTATTCATTTTAAATATATCATCGACGTTAAACAAACAAAATATAAGCACCACTCTTAAAATACACGTTTCAAGTTGGTAAATGTGAATTATGTTTAAATCAAATACATTTAATTAGCAGGTAGCTGATATTCATTGTTCCTACATTGCAGGTGGTTTTATCCTTGCTGGAGCTTTATGGGTCTATATATCGTTAGCGAAATTCGTGTCACTCAAGGCTAGTTTGTCAGTGTCGGTTTCGGTTGATCCCGGCTATTCCTTCTATCTAGGGTGCCTTTCAGGAGTATTTCATATTATCGCAGCCATCGCAGCATTCGCTTTGAGCGCCGTTGCAGATCGTTTGCCGATAATGACCGCTGGCGTTGTGTCCACTGGAACTCCTCAGATGCTCGTTATGCAAGCCGATACCAGTGGATATCCATCTGTCGGCCCTACAGGATTCACCAATGTCGACAACACGGGACATCAAAAAAGCACTCCGGAATATCCGACAAACGCTTCGTATGGATTGCCTCAGTACCACCCGTCCTATGGATACGATCAACCATAAATTAACATGTAATATGTATGTGCCATGACGTTAACTTTATTTGCACAACTCAGAATATTTTGTCACCTTGATATGAATAAAAATCATGCACAGCTATATGCATCATATAACGTAGTCCTTTAATACCGCTGGATATAAAATTGATCAAATGAATGCCATCTGAATGCAGATCAAAATTTAAATTTTCATTTCACCTTGCTTATTGGCTGTTTTTGTGCATATAAAACAATTTATTTTTCAGTGCAAGACATACAATGATGTAAGCACACAGTTCACCTGCGTATAAACCTAGCTAGGAATTCCATGGGAAATACAAATTAAATACCGAAGTTTGTCCATGGCATAACCTCCATATTATTTCACCTAAGTTGACCAAATTTGTTATAGTTTTAATGTATCTTCGAAGTAGGAGTGTCGTATTCTAAATTCGGGTCTCATACCCCACTATATAACAGATATGACCCTTTGTTATTTTTTATACCGAAGTTTATCTATTGGCTAATAAGGGGAGACATATGTTTTTGTTCACAAAAACAAAATTCGAGTTTGGATTTGATTTTGTGTTGTAAAAGCAAAATCGACTAGAATAACAAACAACAATTTGTGTTTACTTATGACTTGCTTTGCAAATTTTAACTTTTGGCCTTATTATAGAACATTTACCAAGCTCAGGAAAGTCTGTCCGGCGTTAACATTTTACTTAAAACAACTTTGTCTCAATAACCAAGAAGCCTAGTAACATCATGCTGGGATAAAAGGCTTCCAAGTTTATTCAAGTTCACAGGGGGCCAGTCGTCCATCTAGCGTCAACCTTTTACTTTAAACAACCTCTTCTCATTAACCAAATGGCACAGGCTGTTGATATTTGATCAGTAAAACGCTGGGAGGAAGGGCTGCCAAATTTGTGACCTTTTAAATTCAAGGTCACATAGTTTGGTTTGGTTTGGTTTGGTTTAGTATCGTTTAACGTCCTATCAACAGCTATGGTCATTTAAGGACGGCCTCCTCAGTGTGCAAGATGCATGCGTGTAGTGTATACGTGTGTGTTTAGGAAGCTGCGACATGTTCGTGTTTGTCTCCTTGTGATAGCGCGGAACTGATGCCGACTTATAGTGCTACCTCACTGAAACATACTGCCGACGACACCCAGCAGGACACCCCACCCGGTCACATTATATTTCACACCTGTGGCTGAAATTTTGATATTTTTCAATTTTGTATTTATCCTCGTCAGACTTTTTCCACATCTAGGGATGTAACCGCATTTGCGAGCTGTGGCGACAGTTTAAAAACTCTAACGAGTTTGCCAAACTCATCTGGTACCTGACCTTACGTTGCCAATCGGGTTCTTGATTTGACATGATAAAGTCAACAGAAGTGAATCGTAGGGATGGTTGTCTAAGCAATATAAATGTTATTTGTGATGATAATATAAATGAAGTTTGTAGTGATAGCATTATGTATGAGCAATATGTAAATGAAGTTTTTAATGAAAACGTCAATGTATGAGCAAATGTTTATAATAAAAGCGTCAATGAAAAAAAATGTTGTTAAAAACCTAAACTAGAAAGTATGTATTGCCTCTCAGAAAAGATTAAGGTCTCCGTGAATTCGGGCAACTAACCATTGGGTGACGCCGAATTCAAATTATGGCGGGAATTCCTATTTTTTTTCTGATTTAAGTTTGTTCCCTGACAAGACCGTGTTTCTGTAAAATATGGTTTGTTCCTCCAGTTGGTAACTTTTTCAACGTAAATACCACATGTTTGCATGTAGCTATGTTACCACATCCATCGTCAATGTTGAAAGAGATGCAGTTCCATCCTTTAATGTATATCTCTTGAACGATGACGACAGCATATGTTTCCTGATGACAGGTAACTGCCTTATCAAGTGAAGCATGGCCATCTAGATTAATACATCAATCAAAGTTATATTTTGTGTTAAACACACACCGCTTACTATNGGGTGAAGGGGAACTTAGCTAAATTTGGTTTAAAATGCATCTCCTCCTAAACGCCAGAGAAGATTTCAACACAATATGCTCTGAAACTTCATTGTGGGAGGGCAATCATTTCCTAAATAAATGAGACTTGTTCGACACCTGGGGCTAGGAAGATCGGGCCCAAAACAGGAGAATTATCTAATAGTTTGCTTTAAGACGCTAATACCCCCTAAATGCCCGAGTGGATTGTACAAAATTTGGTCAAAGACATTATTGAGGAAGAACAAATATTTCTTAATAGAATGAGGTCATTTGACCCTTGCGGTCCGAAGAAATGGTACAGCTAGTTTATCATATTCTATGGTGTAGTTTTCATAAATTGTTAAAAATTGGTTTCTAGGTTTATAAAAGCTTATAGTGGAATGAAAATTAAAGTATTGTCTAATTACACCCTGTAATATGACATATTACTTATTTCCAAATCTGTTAACATGGCAACTCAATGGAGGCCCCTGATTAGTTGAAAGTCAGATATTGTGGTCCAACTTGAGTTAGAACATAAATCTTGTCTGGTTTTGAGGAAATTTCATATAAAGATGTACTAATGCATTCAGTTGTAATGACTTAAATATAAAACCAGGTTATAATGTACCCTCTATGAAGAATCGTTATTGTAAGGTATGATATGGTTTATAATCAAGTTGTTTGCTATTGATATATTTTGACATCTTTTACACTTTTTTAACTTTTTGTTTCTGATTTTTATGTTTTCATTTTTTTGTGAATGTTTTTTTACCAAAACATCGTTGTTTGGCCCTCATTGACTCGAATCGGCGATGGGCCGTAAAGCAATACAAAAAATAAAACAAAACACACAGATTATTTTCCATGACCACGAACGGATCGTAGACGAATCTTCCAAGACACCATGAACAATATGTTTTCGCACCCCGATATAGGTAACAAAAATATAAGTAGGTAAAGTTTCCTCGCAAGGATAAGTTTATGATATCTGATAAAGCGAATGATTTAAATGTTAGCTGCAATGAGCGACTTGTCTTGATAAGATACGAATCCATATACGTTCACTCGAAATGGGTAATACAAAAACAACACCGTGTACGAAACAAGCGAATATTTGCCAGGATGTGACGGGTACCACTATTTCACCTGTCGCCTTTTTTCTTGTTCCACTCAGCCTAAAAAGTAAGCATACACAACTAAAGACCAATGTGAATAAAAAAGACCGCCTCTTGGTCATTATGTTTTCCTCGTCAGTCTCAGAATAAACATAATAATTTTCAGACTAATGGACACATACATTTCAATTCGAGATTGAACCCTCTAGTTCTTTATGAAGAATACAGATGTCAAATCTGATCAGTTAAAATCCAAAATAGTTCTCTATAGTGAAGTGTGTTATTTACGACACTTTAAAATGAAGTTTGGCATGCTTTAATTCTACAAGATAACAGTTGCCCCCTGGCTTTATGCCGGTAATTCAAAGGCCTTGCAGCTGTGAACCAATGTGATGGAATTTTTCCAAAGCTGAAATCACTAATATCATCCTTAGCAAAGATAAACATTTGCATAACTGATGCATCCTATAAAGATATTACTTTTTTAATGTATTTATTGTGTTGATTCATAGGAACAATTTCGCCACTACTATTAACCTAGTCTTCAAATGTATGTTTATTAATAAAAAAAATCGCTCGCTATATAAGATGATACATTTCTTCATTCTTATAAGTGCCAAGCAATATGACAAATTGCATAATGACATAATTTAGTACATCACATGATAATTACTAGGATAGCTATTGGATAACTACCCTTGCTCTATTTGGTATAGTTAGCATCCGCCCTTGACGACGGGAACTATACATGGAGACGGACACTATACCTTTTTTTGGACCGCTGAGACTGCGGGAAAAGTAGCGTGACGCCAAGAGTTGCGCACCTTCTCCTAGGGGGCGCTGTACATATTCTACTTTCAGTTCATTGTTGTCGTCTGCCAAAATGGCTTCGAGATTCGGAACCGGAATGCCGATTGCTTTGCAGAGGCTCAGCAATGTATGAAAACGAAGCAGGCGACACAAATGGCAGTCATGTGATGTACTAAATCTATTATGACCCTTTCCCTCGGGAACAGTTCTCTTATAGTGTTGTCTGGGGGCTCGGGCACTATACCTCCCCAGACAGCACTATAAGAGAACAGTTCCCTCGGGAAAGGGCCATAATAGAATAATAGAACCTTAATAGTCAGACGTGCGATTTTTTTCCTTGGAAAACGAAAAAAGTATTGAGACAGGTTTCTAGTGGTAACATGGTTTTATTATTCATCAATTCGCCTCTGTGCCTTTTTTCACTGAGTTAAAGCAAAAACAAACTCTTAAACAACAGGAAGAGCAAAATTAACATCGATATGACAAAGGATTAACAATCAAACAGCAGATAACATATTATCCGACACAGTTATGGAGTTTATCCCGATACTCGCTATTTCGCTTACGTTAGAGTAATATTTGCTGTTTGGATTACGTCGGAGCAAAAGGTTAGTTTGGTGCTAAATACGGCCTACGGCAGAGAGAAAATCTCCCATGTTTGGACATTACATTTGTGCATAAACTCCTTCTTAATACTAGTGATACGGATTACGAACATGCTCAATTTTAGTTGATACGGATAACGTACTATGTTAATACGGGTTACGTTGTGCTACATCGGTTATCAAGATAGAGTTTTTTATCACTATTTTATATCTCCGTCCCTCCGGTGAGTAAATGTTGACCAGCACACTTATAGTTTGGATAATGTTGAGCCATAACAATCACTGGCCCCCTCCCCTTAATAGTTCACCTAGTCTGAAGGACCGGTGAGCTTATGCCATGGCGCGGCATCCGGTGTCCGTCGTCCGACAACTTTTCCTAAACATCGATACTAGTCATGAACGACTAAGTAGATTTTAACCAAATTTGGTCAGAAGCATCCTTGGGGAAAGGGGAACCAATTTTGTATAAATAGCGTGTCTGGTTGAGGGGCGGGACCCAATAGGTGAAATATAGCAAATACTTTAAAATCCTTCATCTTCTGAAGGAATAAACGGATTTGTTCCATATTCGGTCTGAAGCATCCTATGGTAACCAATTTTGTATAAAC